GACTTGATGACTCCTGAGGTCTCTTCCAGCCCTAGGATTCTAGGATTCTGTGATTCTAAGCAGTAGGATTTAAGTGGTTGCAAGTGAGAACAGGCAGAGCATAGTAGATTACAAATTTAAAATAACAGAAAATGCGTAGTTAATTCCAACAATAAAACCTCAGCACAAACTTACCCTAAAACGGTTCTTGTCCACCTAAGCTTATTACAAACTTACCCTAAAACTGTTCTTGTCCACCTAAACCTCCAACCAGGGCAGCCTGTCTCCCTGGGTTCTCTGGTTCTTCTTCTTCAGAGTGTCATGTCAGCCAATGACAGAAACCTGCTAGCTTCCTGTTGTTTTAAAGATTCCACTTCTGCATGGGAAGTTACCTGGCCAGTCCCTACCAGTTAGGGAGGTCACATGACTTCCTAGGCCCAACCACTGCTAAGGCTTAACTTTTACATAGAAGAGCGAAACATGCGCCAAAATAAGATACACAGATCCAGCGGATTATGACATTAAAATCGATAGGTTACATGAAGCAATTTGTCCCAAGCATCTTTGAGTTATGTATATTTGGGTTCATAAGTCCCTTTCATTAAGCATGGGGTGGAGGGTCCGTCACACTATTCTCCAGGGACTTTCCTAATTCTTTTTTGCACCAGTCACACTTTTGCCCTTCACATTGTCTCTTGCAATGGGTTTCACCCCGCATGACTGGAAGAGCCCTAGGTTGGTCAAAGCCACTTCAGCAACACTGTGCCTCCCCTCCTGACACCTCCCGCTGCTCCACAGGAAAATCTTGTCTCTTCCGAAAGAACCTGAGCTTTTTATATGCACCATGCAGGTTCCACAGCACTTGAGGTTATGACACTGCCCCCATAGGCATCACAGTGGTGCCTGTATCATTATGATATGATCTACAGGCATGGAAAAATTATGATTTGCACAATATGTTGCTGCTATTCGTGTGCATATGGGTTTTTTTGCATCTGAAATCATGAATGCCGACTATGCATCTGTATTTAGTAAAGCATTTAGAAAAATATCTGTATTTAGAAAAGTAGTTAGACCTGATGAAACCCCCTAGGAAAAATGCTTCCAGTCCAGACAGCTGGCTGTGAAGAGCCTCTTCAGGATAATGGGGCATTAGGGGAAACAAAAGTCTATATGAGAAGCCACTCTGTCGACGGAGCCATGTAGATGAGGCAGGACGACAAAGGGAAATGAAGCGGCGATTTAAATAATCACCGCTTCATTTAAATCAAAACGGTCGCCGCACTGTGCCAATCAGCTGTTTGTTGGCACAGCGCGGCAGTCTAGACAGGGATCTGCTGACCCCAGAACTCTTTGTTAGCAGATCCTTTATGCCTTGTGAAACCTTTCCTGATTTATTATATTTGCAATCTGTGGTTCCCAACATCCAGGTAGCTTTTCTTCACTGCTGCTGTACATAGAATTGATATTATCAGAGAACAATGCACAGCTGCTCCAAGCTTTCTTTCTTGAGCACTAATATCTAATTTAGACTCCTTATGTTTTTAAACATAGTTGGGATTATGTTTTTCCAGTGTGTGTTCCTTTCATTTATCTCAGAAGGGTAGCTATTTTAGTGTGTATCTGCAAAACCAGTTGGGAGTTCTTGTGTATCTTAAAGACTAACAGATTTATTTGGGCATAAGTGTTGCACCGCACAGGTGTGTATAGTGTAAGCTCCTGACTATACGTTGTTTTCCCCTCAATGTGGAAAAGATATTTTACATTCTTTGTACACAGAGCTGAAATTTTCCCCAGACGCATCACTCAAAAATGTTGGTGATGAGAAGCATAAAAGACATTTATTAACTAAAAAGGTGGATTTAAGCAATTCTACATAATAGCAAAGCGATCAAAACCCTTTTGTACCAAATACACAACACTGCAATTGAAGCCTAACATAGTAAACAGATTGCATTTGAATGAACAATTTCTTACCCTGAGGGTATGTCTAGACTACATCCTTCTGTCACCAGAGGGATGTAAATCAGACATACCAAAATTGCTAATGAAGAGGGGATTTAAATATCCCATGCTTCATTAGAATAAAAATGGCCACCACTTTTTGCCAACGCTGCAATTTGCCAGCAAAAAGCAGCACTCTAGATGAGGATCGGTCGGCAAGGAAAGCCTTTTCCGACAGATCCCTTATGCCTTGTGCAACGAGGTTTACAGGAGCGGTCGGAAAAGGCTTTCCTTGCCGACCAATCCCTGTCTAGACTGCCGCTGTTTGCCGGCAAATTGCCTCATCGGTAAAAAGTGGCAACCATTTTTATTCTAATGAAGCATGGGATATTTAAATCCCCACTTCATTAGCAATTTTGTTGTGTCTAATTTACATGCCTCTGGCGACAGAGGGATGTAGTCTAGACATACCCTGACTGATGATATAAGAAGATGTCCAAGTTTTCATACCAGGCTTGAAATCCTTTTAGCCCAGGAATAGACCTTTTGCCAGTTCAGTTTTTGTTCCTTAGGTGTTCCCATGGGGTTTTTTTTTTTTGTGTAGACGTGAGGCCAAGAGGTAATGGCACTCCCCATCTAATATAGTTTTTCCATAGGGTGGAAAACCTTTTCAAGCCCAGTTCTCAGGCCAGTTTATGGAAAAATAGAGGTACAAAAATGGAGTTTGGTGTCATATGGTTTAGTCACATGCCCTGCTGAGTCATAGCTGACAATCCTCCTGGGAGAGAGAAATACATCCAGCACTTTCTCTTCCCCAGTCATTTTCAACTTACTCTTGGCCATATAAAGGGGGGTAGAATGAGAAGAAGAAGGGAAGTTTGAGAGGGGACTTGATGACAGGACAGAAGCACTTTCACAGACATGAAATACCAGCTACGACTGGGCTCTTTAATCTAGCAGGCAAAGGTGTTACAAGAATCAATGGCTGGAAATTGAAGCCAGACAAATTAAACTTAAAACGAGGAAAACATTTTTAACATTGTGGGTGCTTAACCAGAGGAACAAATTCCCATGGTATGTGCTGATTCCCCTGATCTCTCCATATCATGAGTGAATCCCTTAGAGTAAGACATGCTTTAGTTGAACACAAGTTATGTGTTAGTCAAATACAAGTAATTGGGCTCAGTACCACGGTGAAATTTTGCAGGTGTTGAGACTCGATTATCTAGTATTCCCTCATGGCCTTAATTTCTGTGTATCTGTGAATCTTTGTCTCCAGTGGGTTGATATCTTGGACGCAACTTCATCAAGTTACTATTCAAACACTAATAAATAGGCACTCTGCAAATATATGTGCTGATCAAGAAGAATCAGGATTGTCACAGTAAAACTGGAATAGGTGGTGTCTTTACGCTGTAAACCTGGTCCTTTCTTGTTTTGTCTTACAATTTAATCATGACTGTTGTGGAGAAAGTAAATAAAGAACATAAGAACGGATATACTGAGTCAGACCAAAGCTCCATCTAGCCCAGTAGCCTGCCTTCCCACAGTGGCCAATGTCAGGTGCGTCAGAGGGAGTGAACAGAACAGGGAGTCATCAAGAGATCTCTCCCCTGTCACCCATTCCCAGCCTCTTAGAAACAGGCGAGGGACATTATTCCTACCCATCCTGGCCCATTGACTGGGCTTAAAGTGCAGCAAGGGAGGTTTAGATTGGACATTAGGAAAAAATTCCTAACTGTCAGGGAGGTCAAATATTGGAATAAATTGCCAAGGGAGGTGGTGGAATCTCCCTCTCTGGAGATATTTAAGAACAGGTTAGATAGACATCTGTCAGGGATGGTGTAGACGGAGCTTGGTCCTGCCTTGAGGGCGGGGGGCTGGACTCGATGACCTCTCGAGGTCCCTTCCAGTCCTATGATTCTATGATTCTATGATGGACTTAACCTCCATGAATTTATCTAGTTCTTTTTTGAACCCTGTTAAAGTCCTTGTCTTCACAACATCCTCTGGAGAGTGTATGAACAGTCAGTCTGTGGAACTCCTTGCCAGAGGATGTTGTGAAGACCAAGGTGACAATGTTGTTCAAAACAGAACTATATAAATTCATGGAGCATAGATCCATCAGGGGCTATTAGCCAGGACGAGGAGAGCTGGTATTTCTAGTCTCTGTAGCCAGAAGATGGGAAAGGGTGACAACGGATAGCTAACTTGATAATTGCCTGTTCTGCTCATTCACTCCAGGGCATCTGGCATTGGCTGCTGTGGAAAGGCAGGATACTAGGCTAGATGAAACAACACAAACAACGGCAACAGGTGGGGATTCGGGTCCTGAGTCTCTTTGCAGGTCTCCTGTGTGTCAGAGCCTCACCCACACACACAGCTCTGCTTGGCCATGGTGGAGAGTGGCTCAGCAGATGGGCTGTGTGCAGAGCCACCACTGGGGGGCAAGGGGCTGCTCCAGTGGATTTTCTTGTGGCTTCTACATAATCATGTCTCTGATATGACTCAGCCTCAAGCACGTGGCTGAGTGCATAGGGGAAAGGTGGGTCCCTGTGCCCCTTGAATAGCACCTGTTTGCAGTTGGTGTAGCCCCATAGGTCAGGCAGCACCCAGAGTGCTCAAGTTTCTGATGGCACAATAATTTTGCAGCTTTTTTCGTGGTCCCTAGATGTTTAACCAGAGATGGGACAGCCTGGGCCATGGGAAATAACATCCCCATCCGTTCCCTGTATTGATGGTATCAACTGGAATTCTGAAGTTGGAGCAGTCACTAGTTTGGCTTTTTATGGACCAACATCTCACCTGTCCCCTGGTTCTCCACAAACACAGTCACTTCCTTAATGGTAATACCTGCCTTGATCTCCTTCACACAATTTTCAGTCCACTCTCACCAGCCCCTCCCATTCCTCCAGACCTTAGAAGCCATCAGAATCTCTCACTACAAAGTGTAGATTAGTAAGTCGTGTTGTCTCATTGTCTCAAATGTAAGGGTCTGGGGTAGAATAGGTGGTCATAGCACATGTTTTTTGTCTCCCATGTCATCAGAGCTGGAGAAGGGGTGACAAATGGACCATTCATTTGGCGAACATCCTGACGATCCTCGCACGTAGGTCTTTGCTTTTCACGCTGTACACGATCGGGTTCATCAGAGGCGGCACAAGCAAGGCGATGTAACTCAGGAGAATCTGAAGCAAGGGAGAAGAGCCCTTCCCGAATCTATGTAGAATAGACAAGCCGATCTCCGGTGTGTAGAAGAGCAGGACGGCGCAGAGGTGGGAGACGCAGGTGTTCAGGGCCCTCAGGCACTCCGCAAGTGACGCGATGCTCAGCACTGTTTTGAGGATCATCATGTAAGAGAGGAAGATGAGCAGCGAGTCCAAACCCATTGTTAAGATTTTAATAAACAAGCCATAGATGCTGTTGACTATGATATCCGAACAAGCCATCTTCATGACGTCCTCATTCCGGCAGTAGGAATGGGAGAGGACATTTCCTTGACAGTATTGGAACCGTTTCAGGAGAAAAGGGAATGGAAGTATTACAGACACCCCTCTTAGCAGAAACACCAGCCCCATCTTGGCTATTCTTGGCTGGGTTAAGATGGAAGCGTATCTCAGTGGGTTACAGATGGCGATGAAGCGGTCAAAGGCCATCATCAAGAGCACGGCGGATTCAGTGCATTGAAGTGAAGCAATGAAGTAAATCTGGGCAATACAGGCATTGAGGCTGATGTCCCTTGTGTTAAATAAGTATATGCCCAGTATCGTCGGCATGGTGGCTATTGATAAGCCTAGGTCCGTAACAGACAGCATGGAAAGGAAAATGTACATGGGCTCATGGAGGCTTGGATCTCTTTTTATAATGAACAAAATGACTGAATTGCCTACTATTGAAATAACATATACCAAGCAGAAGGGAATAGAGATCAAGAGATAGACGTCCTCCTGCCCCGATATCCCAGTGAGCAGGAACACTGCATAGCTAAATTTGGTATCATTGACAGCTGACATCATGTTCTGAGGAGCTTTGAACTTTCCTTCCTGAAAAGAGAAAAAACAGGGATCAGGATAATCTTTAATGAGGAAAATCAGCAAATAAAAGTAGTTTTGGATTCACAAGTGGCTAGTTCTAGATACTGCAAAGGAAATTGGAAGAAGCCTTTCAATAGGCAGCTATGAGATACCCTGCTCTAAGGGAAAGTTTCCCCCTGACATCCACCAGTTAAACGTATCTCTCAGCGGTCACTCGATAACGAGTAGGATGCCTTCCTGTCACCCTCCTATTTGTGGAGCCGTAGAAAGCTGACCAGCCCGATTCTGGAGCCACAGGTCTTATCTCCGGATCATCACCTCGTTAAATGTATATTGTGTTTTAAATGAGGGTTTAGAACCATTCCGAGTTATTTTTTAATGCTTACTATTGCAAATGGATTTTCTGGTTACCCATATAAACATCTAGTCCCTCTATGAATCCTCCAAAGCTCTTGGCGCCATGGATATCTTGGGGCAGAGAGTCCCACACGCTGCTTGAGCGCCGTGTCATTTTACAATTGTGACCTTCACACTGACTCCCTTTCTGGCCCTGCACTTCTGACTGTGGCCTCTATCTGTCCTGCACAGAACCTATTTATCAATGTGCTTCATGAATGATAGGTAGGTGTGGTGTATGGAGATAGATATAGATATTTTTCTCCACTATTGATCATCCAAATTATGCCACTGTCCTTTTGTAGTACATGGGATAAATTCTTAGGGCCAGGTGCTTAAATCAACAACATTGACTTCAACTGCTTCACTTCAGACTTACATTTGTGAATTCCACCAGACTCAAGCTCTGCTAACTTTCCTTTACCAAGTACCCCCACCAATACACTCTGATACACTGGAATGCGTCCAAGAGACACTGAAGTGCTCTGCCTAGCAAGCATTGACCAAACCCAGAGAGCTATATTAATCTACAGACCTCCCTTCATAAATGAATGGAGATATACCTATCTCTTCGAAGTGGAAGGGACCTTGAAAGGTCATCAAGTCCAGTCCCCTGCCTTCATAGCAGGACTAAGTACCATCCCTGACAGATTTGCCCCAGATCTCTAAATGGCCTCCTCAAAGACTGAGCTCACAACCCCAGGTTTACAAAGCCAATGCTCAAACCACTGAGCAATCCCTATATCCCTAAAGCCGCCATCCTTTCCTCATGAAAGGGTCTGTAGATATCAAATTACAAGCTAACACAGACAGCGTCTTCAGCTGGGCGACGGAGGGGTTGGCATCGCACACTTGTGAATAGTGCTAACATGACATTTGTGCTCATCTCCAGTTCAGTGCACGAGTTACTTCAGCCACGCACTTGTAAATGGGGATGTGTGTTACATACCTCCACTACTGCACTCTGCTTCCCTGCACTTCTTCTCTACTCTTCGCTGAAACACAGAGCAGCGGTTCTGTTCTTGCAGGACTTTTGGAAAGTCATGCACAGGTCCTGTAGAGGGATTATGTTCATGACCTTGAATGTAAGCCAGTTACCAGGGGTCAGTATCAGGCAGTTGTTCACTGAAGAAAGAGTTAAAAGCACAAATCCACTGTAAGCCATATATGGAGTACATCTGAAATAGTTTCTACAGCAAAAACCATTAAGCAGTAACATTACCTCTGCTCCTCCCACCGAAATTCCAAGGACTGTGCTGCTGACTTTCCGTATACATGCATGCCGTGAAAGTTTGGACTGTAATATTTGTAAAACAATGACAAGCTTGGGCATGACATTGACACACTTGCTCTTTAATACACACATACTGGCAGCAGGTAGCCCCCCAGCAAGCACCATTGATCCTCACTGTGCTATAGGCTAGGGTGGGAAAATCCTGATATTCTGCCCCATGACAGGGCAGGGTACAGAGACAGAAATCGAGCACTCACAGGGCAGGGAGGGGCAGAGATGCCGGTAGCCCTGTAACTCTGAGGGGTACCTATGGCGTAGAAGATCCAGAACTCTGAGATGCTAAGGAAATGGAGCTATGGCTCAATGGAGCTCTTACCACAGAACTTTGAATTCCTGCCTTCACTGTCGAGTCAGAGGGTTAAACTTTGAAATCCCATTTGCTGAGCAAATAAACTCAAGGCCTTTTGGTCACTGATATTCTGTGGGGTTTCCTCTCACTCAGCCCCTGGCAGGATTGGTTGCAGACTGCCCAGCACCACTGGAAATGGGAACCATCAAGAAACCCTGACTTGGGGCATCAGGGTTTTACAACTCCAAGTTAGAGTGTCAGATTCCTCTGTAGACTGAATAACCAACCCATCAAGGTTCACGGGCACATGGAGGAAAGAGGTTCCCAAGCTAACCAGCACTTCCTGCCTTTCAGCCCTGCCTCTGAATCACCCCAACAGCCCAGCTGAGTCCTCTGCCGCTGCACAGAACAGCTGCCAATGCAAACAGCCTGCAGCCTTCGCCCTGCACTTGGCATGTTACAGACAGTGAAACCTGCCAACGTACCCAGTTCCTGCTAGAAGGGAGCCAATGGCACCAGAGGTCTTCACCCTACAGCACAAGGAGTCATCGGAGAGGTTGCACGGGCAGCAGGCAGTGTGTGTTCAGACAGGGAGGCAACTGCCTTTATGCAGCATGTTTGTACCTTCCCTTGGGGTCACTTGGTCATCAGGGAACCTCAGCTCCTTGGCTTCGTGTGCACCAGCTTTAACCTCGACACAGCCAATGGCAAATGGCAGGAGGATAAACCACAGGGGATGGGGGGATGCAAAGCAACTGGCCTGCAGCCCCAGCCCTGCTGTACACTCTGTTCCTGAAATCCAGACTTGTCAGCCCTGTACATATGAGTCTGAAACAAGTAATCCTGTGGCACCTTAAAGAAAAGATATATATAGTATCATGAGCTTTCATGGGTAATACCCACTTCATCAGCCTATAGTTCTGATTAGACACACGGATGCTTTGGGCATCAAAATGGAAATGATATTTCTAAATAATAATAACAATAATAATAATACTATAATACCAGTTTTCTCCCCTGACAACTCCCTTTCCTATATCACAAAATCCAGGGTTCAGGCTGAAATCTTGCTGAAATAAAATACAATAAATCAACGATAACAGTATAGGACCAGATGTCTCCTTTCCTGCATTTTAAACCCGGAGTGCAGGCCAAGGAAGAAAAATTCCACAAAGCTCCCTATAGGTTGTGTCTATACAACAGGGCTTAACTCAAAATAAGCTACGCAAACTGAGCTCCGTCAATTGTGTAGCTTATTTCGAAACAGCTTATTTAGAAATTGGGAGCATCTACACAGCACTTATTTCGAAATCCAACTTCCCTTACTGCTCGTACAGTGAGGGTTACAGGAGTCAGAGTAAGAAGTCCTCCAGCTTGACAGTATTTTGACATTATTTCGAAATAACTGCCTGCTGTGTAGACATAGCTGCTATGGAAATTTCCCATTTCCCAGTAGTGGAGGACGCTTCCCTTTTTCCTGAGTTATAAACAAGGTTCCCAGTATCCAGATATTCCTCCAGTCATAGTGATTGACTAGTAGCTAGCCAGCCCCTGCCCCCCTACACAATCTCTGGGCTTCCACAGCTGCTTTAGGATCCTCTCCAGCTCCTGGCTAGCACAGACTGGTCACAGATGTGCTACCAGGACCTGTCACAGTAGCCACTGCTCACAGGATCTGTTGAAGGCCCAGGGAGGAGAGGTCTGAAAAGAGATGGGAAGGCTGGTTGGTGGAGCGGATGGGCTCAATACCCCAGCCACAAATTGATCAGATGGTTTCAACCTTTCCATAGAGCCATAGATTCCATCATAGCAACATTAGGTGATGAGGGACAGGCAGATGAAAAGCTTCCAGTTTCTGTTGGGGATCCAGGCAGCTGTATCTGGGCAACCTCCCGGCAGCTGAGCTTTCAGAGTAATGATCCATTTTCTATGCAAACTCACCCCTCCCAAAAAAAGGATGAAAATAAATATTTTTCTAGGGATGAAAATTTTTCGTGGGCTGGAAAAACCCTTCTCTCTTTTCCAGCCCAGCCTAGTTCATATCAAGAACCTTTGTCCAGTGTGCGACAGGATCATGCCCCTAGGTGGCAGCACTAGCCCCCGAGCCACCTCTCACATTGCGCAACCCTTGGACATTTCTAGTTCATATCAAGAACCTTTGTCCAGGGTGTGACAGGATCATGCTCCTTGGTGGCAACACTAGCCCCCGAGCCACCTCTTACATTGCGCAACCCTTGGACATCTTCTAGAATCATAGAATACTAGGACTGGAAGGGACCTCGAGAGGTCATCGAGTCCAGTCCCCTGCCCTCATGGCAGGACCCAGTACTGTCTAGACCATCCCTGATAGACATTTATCTAACCTACTCTTAAATATCTCCAGAGATGGAGATTCCACAATCTCCCTGGGCAATTTATTCCAGTGTTTGACCTCCCTGACAGTTAGGAACTTTTTCCTAGTGTCCAACCTAAACCTCCCTTGCTGCAGTTTAACCCCATTGCTTCTTCTTCTATCCCCAGAGGCCATTTTTCTCCCTCCTCCTTATGACGCCCTTTTAGATACCTTTTAGATTTTAGGGTGGCTCTTTCAGCTCAGTGGCAGAGGCAGGCCCTGGAGCAAGCTTGTCTGCAGCAGCACATCCATAACTGGAAAAATTGAAGAACATAACAGCAGCCATATTGGGTCAGACCAATGGTCTGTCCAGCCCATGCCTTGTCCACTGACAATGGGTGGGGCAGACACTTCTGAGGGAAGGCAGAAAACAAGGCAATTTTCTAGTGATCCATCCCGTGTCATCTGCTCCCAGCTTTTGGCTGTCAGATGTTCAGAGACACTCAAAGCCTGGGACTGTGTCCCTGACCATCGTGGCTAATCATCATTGGCGGGCATACTTTTGGCCTTCACAGCATCCTAGGGCAATGAGTTCCAGAGGTTGACTGTGCTTTGTGTGAATAACAAACTTTCTTATGTTTGTTTTAAATCCTGCTGCCTATTCACTCCATTGGGTGGTCCCTGGTTCTTGTGAAGAGGTAAATAGCAATATTTCCTTATTTGCTTTCTCAATCCCACTCATGAATTTATAGATCCATATCATATGAGTTGTCTGTTTTCCAAGTTGAACAGTCTGAGTCGTTTTATTTGTCTTCATTTTTGATGCCTTTCACTGTACTTTTTAAAATTCAAATATATATTTTAAAGATGGGGTAATCATAGTACAGAGTATTCAAGGTGTGGGCTTTCCATGAATTTATAGCGAGACTATAAATATCTGTGGGTATGTCTACAATACCGTGTTTTGTTGGAAAAATGGCTGTTTTTGCAACAAAACCTGAGTTACGCCCATACTTCAATCGCATTCTTCTGAAAGTAAATCAAAAGAACAGAGGGTTTTTTCCAGCATTGGTAATCTTTTCCGGCATTGGTAATCCTCTTTCTATGAGGAAGAAGCCTTTATGTGTGGATGGGGAAGAGGGAGTTCTTACAAAAGAAGAGGAAAGAGGAAAAAGCACAGGTGGCCACTCCGTCTATAGTAATCACAGCGTAAATTTGGTGGCCACTCCGTCTATAGTAATCACAGCATAAATGCAAGATAGTGTCCATTCAGTATAGACGCTATGTTTCGAAAAAGCAGATAGCTTTTTGTGTGGATGCGCTCTTTCAGAAGAAGTTTTTTCGGAAGATCTCTTTCAAAGAAAAGGTTCTTCCAAAAGAAGCCTATAGTCTAGACATAGCCACTGTAGTATTATCTATACCTTTTCTGATGGTTCCCAATATTTTGCTAGATTTTTTTATTGTTAAGATACACTAAGAAGATATTTTCAAAGGACTCACCATAGTCACTCCAACATACTTTTACTGCGTGGCAATAGATAATTTACACCCCATCATTTTGTAGGTATAGTAAGGATTATGTGCTCCAATGTGCATTGCTTTCTACTTATTTACTGTGAATTTCATCTGCCATTTTGTTGTCCAGTCACCCAATTTTTTTAGATCTCTTTGTAACTCCTCATAATCTGATTTGGACATAAATATATTGACTAAGTTTGTATCACTTGCATTTGGCCACCTCCCTGGTTACCCCATTCTCCACATTATTTATGAATACGTTGAGTAGGAATGTTTCCAGTACAGATCTCTCTGAGAATCCATTATTTTCTTTCTGAAAACTGACCATTTATTGCAACCCTGTGATTCCTAACTTTTAACCAGTTACTGATCCATGATAAGATTTTCCTTCTATCCCGTGACAGCTTACTTTGCTTAAGTTTGAGAACCCCTGGACTAGATTATCTACAGGCTCCTTCTGACCTTAAATTCTATGACTCTGTGAATCATGGTCTTGAGTGGATTGTTATCTTAGATGCAACTAGAACAAGCTGCTCCTCTGAATGTTATAGGCACTCAACAAGGATAGACGCTGGCCAAGAAAAATTGGGATTGTCCCAATAACACAGGATATGGGGTCTGTTTATCCTCTAAACCAAGTCCTTTCCTATCTTGGGCAGAATGTCACAATTGTCCTATTCTTTGATCTGGGAACAAAACACCATCTATGCTCAATGCATCACCATGAAGGTACCCCAGAAACCTCACTCTCTACACTTTGGGTGCTTGTGACTGACTATACAGTCATCCCAACATCCTTAAAATTAGAAGATTTATTAGCAAACAGCACAATGAATTTTTATAAAGTGGCTTAAAAATAACAGGCAGCTAACAAGCTAAGAAAGACATGATTAGTTGGGATTGGTCCCGCTTTGGGCAGGGGGCTGGACTCAATGACCTCCTGAGGTCTCTTCTAACCCTAGGATTCTATGATTATATTATTTGCTCTGGAGATAGAGAAACAGACATCAAGGAGCACTTGAGACCCAGCCTAGATCCCTGTGTCTCTGAGAACATCTTCCCATCTGTTCACACCTTTCTTGTGGAAGCAGCTTTTGCTGAAACCCGTATGATCCCGGGGCCAGTCACCACAGTGCTCAGCCGTGTCTATGCTATAGGGCCAAGGTGTGAAGCTGACCTATGCCCTCAGACTGCTTTCTCCCACCCAGACCATCTAAGATGACTCCCCTCCCCATGGCTGTTGCTCCGTTCTTAGACCCATTTAGCCTTAATGGATAAGAAGCTGGATATGAGTTAACAGGGGCCCTTGTAGCCAAGAAGGCCAATGGCATCTTAGGGTGCATTGGGAGGAGCATAGCCAGCAGATCTAAAGAAGTGATTATTCCCCTTTATTTGGCACTGTTGAGGCGATACCTGGAGTATTGCGTCCAGTTCTGGGCCTCCCACTAGAGAAAGGATGTGGATGCATTGGAGAGGGTCCATGAGAAGGAAAAGAAAATGATTAGGAGGCTGGAGCACATGACCTACGAGGAGAGACTGAGGGATTTGGGTTTGTTTAGTCTACAGAAGGGAAGAGTGAGGGGGGATTTGATAGCAGCCTTCAACTTCCTGAAGGGCAGTTCCAAAGAGGATGGAGAGAGGCTGTTCTCAGTAGTGACGGATGGCAAAGCGAGGAGCAAAGGACTCAAGTTACAGTGGGGGAGGTCTAGGTTGGATATTAGGAAAAACTTTTTCCCTAGGAGGTAGGGAAGCACTGAGATGGGTTCCCTAGGGAGGTGGTGGAATCTCCATCCCTAGCGGTTGTTAAGTCGCTGCTTAACAATGCCCTGGCTGGGATGATTTAGTGGGGGTTGGTCCTGTTTGGGAAGGGAGCTGGACTCAATGACTCCTGAAGTCTTTTCCAGCCCTAGGACTCTACAATTAATGGCTTGCAAATACTGATCCAGAAACTGTGGTGAAATTGTAGGTGTCCCTCTGATGCGCCAAACATTCCCCTCAGAAATTCACCTCCTACACCTCGCTGCCATCCTGAGGCCCCGCTTCTGTCCCATCTCTTCCCAACAGACCTCTCCCACTGTAACTTGAGTCCATTGCTCTTCTTGCCGCTCCCCTCCATCCTCCCCAAGGCTCCATCCCCTCTCCCTCTCTCCGGTTAGGCCATGTTAACAGCCACCCAGGAAGGCCAGTCTGTTGTGGGGAGTCCTGCACTCTCTGGGGGGGGGTGTATGATGGGGGATGGGAACACAGGCTGTGGTCCTCTCTCTGGCACACCAGCCCCTCACCTAGGGCAGGTCACCATGACAACTCTTACCATGGCCTAACTCTGGTTTCTGAGCAGGAGAGGAGGTGGAGCCTTGGGTATTAACGAGGAATGGGGAAATCTTAAGGGATGAGATGAGGCAGAGTGAGGATCGGTGGGGAGGAATGGGGAAATCTTAAGGGATGAGATGAAGCAGAGCGAGGATCCGTGGAGGCGGGGGGATGAGAGGAGGGGCAGGCTCACAGGGAGGATTAAGTTTCTGCATAGCTCCCGCTTTTTCCTTTTGCCAAAGGGGTCACCCTACACTGACTGGGCTAGGACCTGGAAGCTGAGGCCTATTTCCACCCCTCGTGGGGGTGGATCCAGGCAAACTGGGGGCTGCATCCAGCCCCCGGGCCTGAGGTTCCCCACCCCGATGTAGAGGAAGGGTGAGTGTCTGTGCCCCTCTGATAGCCCTGGGCCACAGCTGGGGCAGCCCCATGGATCACACAGAGCCCAGATTGCTCAGGAAAGGCCAGGACTGCTACTGCAGAACAGCTCTGCAGCTATTTTATAGCCTGTGGAAGTTTAACCAGAGATGGCACAGTGACTGGTCAGGTGTCATAGGAAACAAAATCTCCATCCATTGTCTTTATTGACAGTATAGAGATAAATTCAGAGGTCAGTGCAGCCACTGATACAGCCCTTTATGGGCTAATATCCCACCAGTCCCCTGGCTCTAGACAAACAAAGTCACTTTGTAAAGGTTGTTGCCTGCCTTGGTCTCCTGCTCTGTCCTTTCTCACCAGCGGGTGGGAACAGCCCCTCTTCCCTGGCTCTAGGTCTAAGACCCCATTTGAAGCTTTCTCCGAAGACTGGAAATAATTAGCTCATGTTGTCTCAGAGGAAAGGGTTCAAGATGGAATTGGTGGACGTGTCCAAAGCTTTTTTATCTCCCGTATCACCAGCAGTGGAGCTGGGTGATGAACTAGTGCTTCACTTCACAAACACACTGATGATCCTCGCACGCAGGTGTTTGCTTTTCACGCTGTACACGATCGGGTTCATCAGAGGTGGGGCCAGCAAGGTGATATAGCCCAGGAGAACCTGAAGCAAGGGAGAAGAGCCCTTCCCGAATCTGTGTAGAACAGCCAAGCCGATCTCTGGTGTGTAGAAGAGCAGGACGGCGCAGAGGTGGGAGACACAGGTGTTCAGGGCCCTGAGGCTCTCCGTGGGAGACGCGATGCTCAGCACTGTTTTGAGGATCATCACATAAGAGAGGAAGATGAGCAGCGAGTCCAGCCCAACCACAGAGACTGTAAGAAAGAAGCCATAGATATTGTTGACTGTGATGTCCGCACAAGCCATCTTCATGACATCCTGGTGCAGGCAGTAGCAATGAGAGAGGACGTTGGCGTGACAGTATTGGTACCGTTTCAGAAGTAAGGGAAGAGGGAATATTACTACTACCCCTCTTAATGCAAACACCAACCCCATCTTGGCTATTCTTGGCAGGGTTAAGATGGAAGCGTATCTCAGGGGGTTTCGGATCGCGATGAATCGGTCAAAGGCCATCAGTAAGAGCATGGAGGATTCCATGAATGAAAATGTGTGGATGAAGAATAGCTGGCCCAAACAGGCATCGATGCTGATCTCCCTAGAGTTAAACAAGAATATGCCCAATGTTGTCGGCATGGTGGCTATCGATAAGCCAAGGTCTGTGATGGCCAACATGGAAAGAAAAATGTACATGGGCTCATGCAGTCTTGGATCTGTTTTTATAATGAAGAGAATGACTGAATTGCCTATTATTGCAATAACATACACAAAGCAGAAGGGGATGGAGATCCAGAGATAGATGTCTTCATGGCCAGGTATCCCGGTGAGAAGGAACACGGCAGATTGGAATCTGGAGTCATTGACAGCTGACATCATGTAGTGGGCAGGTCCAAAGGGTTTTCAACTGTCTTTACTAGAAGGCAAAGGAAGAGATTAGACGATATTTAATGAGATGTCATTATGATAGGATTGGATCCCAGTGGGACCCTCAATTGGTATGCTGAGACCTCACTGAGCCTGCTTTCCCTGACAGACTGGGTATCTTGTAACCTTGTCCTGTTGAGTGCAGCCCTCCACCCTGCTTCAGCCGAGGGAGAGGGACCTGGCCACACATCCAAGGCTGCAGACACAGCAGTTCATTGTGAGACCTTTCCCAAACACTCATGTACTCAGCCCTTTCAACTAGCAGAAACCCACTGGGTCAGGGGTCAGCAACCTATGGCTCTGGAGCCAAATACGGCTCAGTGTGGACCCAAATACGGCTCTTTGGTCATTCCCAAAGTACATGCAACTTTTTAAATTAAAATGAACAATTCATAATTTTAAAAATGTGTCATGACTCGCGTCAAGATGGAATTTTTGTCTCTTTCACCTTGAACCAGAGCGGACAGAAAGGTGGTGCACCCCACTAAGAACCGGCTACACACCGGCAAGAGCTGGCTGGTGCACTCTGCTGGTTTAAAGGGCCGGCAGAGAGCACACTGTAGGGGACGTTGCATGCTCCCAACTGGGATAGTGAGAGGGTCCCAGTGGCCCGGCCCCCTATCTGGCTGCAGCATCCTGTTCCTGGCCCCGATCCTGGGATAAGCCCCTTGTCTGGCCCCCATCTGACCACAGGAAGCTGGTGGAAGCCTCCCTCCTGCTGTGGCACAGATAGCAGGGGAGGCCACAATCCAGGTGTGGTGATCCTGGCCTGGCCACTGCTATCACTGCTGCCTGGGTGCAGCAGTCCAGCCCTGGCTAGGTAAGGTAATCTGGCCCCAGGACCTCCCAACATATTTTACTTCCCACCCCCAGGTCTCTGCCCTACCTCCTGTGCCTCCCGACTCCCACACACCCCAGCCCCCTGCTCTGAGCCCCTCACACAGCCCAACTCTGATTCCTGCACCCCCACAGCCACAAACTGCACCCCCAGCAGCAGCAGAAGACCCAGGAAACAAAGTTTGTGAGTGCAACATTTCATTTGTGTTATTATTAATCATCATGTAAATTATCAATTATATTAAGCTGTATATTTTCATTCATGCTAACGGGCATTCTTATACAGGCTCTTTGTTGACCACTTGTTCTGAATTTTGATGTAGTTTGGCTCTTTGGTTTGAAAAGGTTGCCAACCCCTGCACTGGTTAGACATATGGGCTGTGTACACACTGGCAAGTTATTCCGGAAAATCAGCCGCTTTTCCGGAAAAACTTGCCAGCTGTCTACAACGGCCGCTTGAATTTCCGGAAAAGCACTGATGATCTAATGTAAAATCATCAGTGCTTTTCTGGAAAAACTATGCTGCTCCCGTTCGGACAAAAGTCTTTTTCCAGAAAACTGTTCCGGAAAAGGGCCAGTGTAGACAGCACAGTAGTGTTTTCCAAAAAAATCCCCGATTGCGAAAATGACGATCGGGGCTTTTTTGCGGAAAAGCGCATCTAGATTGGTCACGGACGCTTTTCCGCAAAAAGGTCATTGTCCGGAAAAGCATCCTGCCAATCTAGACGCACTTTTCCGAAAATGCTTTTAACGGAAAACTTTTCCGTTAAAAGCATTTCCGGAAAATTATGCCAGTGTAGATGTAGCCATTTTGTGGTGTAAATCAGGAAGGATTAGAGCCTTTCCAAGATTTTTGTAGTGAAATTGGCTTTTCTGGTTACCCCTACATAAACATCCAGTCCCTGTTTGAAAACCACTAAGCTCATGGTCCCATAGCTTGTGGAGGGGAATCCTATACTCTACTTGAAGCACCATGTGATTTAACAGTTGTGACCTTCCCCCAGACAAACATTCTGAACATGGCCCATTGTGTCATGACATGTGGGTAAACACATGGAAAGTGTACGGTGAAAGGGTCATTGGATTTGTCTGTCCTGAATTGAAATGACATATGAATGTGTTTCATTGCCTCGTTACAGGCTGAACCTCTCTAGTCTGGCACTCTGGTCCAGCAACATCTGTGGTACAGCATGATTTTAGTTACCTCGCTATCCACTTAGCATGGATGTGGCCAAGTTTCCAAGGTCCCATAAAATTTGTTTACAGCCACCAGTCCTGGCTCTCAGTGTTCTGTGCTGTTATTTAGCTCCAATTTACACCTAAATGTCTCCTAATAGTCCAGTAAGCAGTGAAAGAGTGGGTAATGGTGCAAGACAATATTGACCTCCTATGGTCCAGCAAATTCTCTGGTTCGGCATCAGTCGTGTCCTGAGGATTTGCAATATAGTGGATAAATATTTAGGGTCATGTTCTCAATTCAGTAACAGCGACTTCAACCATATGAGTCAAGATTTGCATGTGCAAATATGATCAGAACCAGGCTGTATTAACTTTCCCTTGAACAATGCTCCCTGTGACGCTGTCTGACCCCCAAGAATCCCTCCAAGAGCACTTCAAGGGCTTTTCCTGGTCAGTGTTCTCTGAATCCAGAGAGTCCAATTATCCTACAGGCTTCTCTTCATCCTCCCATGATCTGCATCATCTCCCCATGCAAGGGTCTATAGATATTTATCACGTTACAGACTAACACGAACAGCTACTTCCATTAGGCACAGAAGGGGTTCATATCATAAATGGATGGATAGTGCAATCACTAGGTTTGTACAAATATCCAGTTATGGGTGCGAGTTACTTCTCCCACGCACATGTGAGAGCTGATTGATATAAATAACACACAGTTACTCTTTCCTTCAACTCCGCTCTACTCCTTGCTGATACACAGACCAGCAGTTCTATTTTTTCAGGAATTTGGGAAGTACTCAACTGGTATTGCTTACACATTGGGTTCATTACCCGCAATGTAAGCATTAGAAACAGTTTCTGGTCTGCTACCCGGAGCCAGTATCATACAAATCTTCACTCACGGCAGAGTTAATAGCACAAACCCATTGCAGACAATAAGTGGAGTACTTCTGAAATTCTCTCTGAAGCAAATGCCTTTCAGCAGTAAAGTTACCACTGCTTCACATCTGCTGACTTCCAATATACATGCCTGTCATGAACGTTTGGTTTGTAAGATCTGTATTACAATGGAAATTTTAGTACAACTTTTGCACACGCATGCCAACTCATTCTTTCGCCTCTGATCTACTTTCACGGATAATTTGTCAGGTTAGAGAGACAGCTGAAATGTAGATTCTGTCCTCTGTGCTTCTTCGGAACCTGAAAAGTTCACATCCCCTCAGCCCTCTTTCAGTCACTTGTCAACAAAGAAAAGCCTAGTAGCTCCACTCTTCCTAGGTTAATAGCTGACTGGTTCTCCTCAGGTTATGTTCTGTCAGGCTGTTGCCTGTATCCAGAGTAGTCACTCGGATGAATTTATGAAATATTAATTCCTCGAGCTATCAGTCTCTTGTTCATAAGATCCCCAGCACTTGTTTTTCCGGCACGAGGTTTTTTCAATAAGTGGCCTTCAAAGTCAAATGCCTTTTTTACTGAAATGGAAGTTGCCTGTTGCTCCCTTTCACTCTGACTGCCTCTGTGCATTAGTCATAAACTCACAGAACCCAGGAACGGCACAAGGACAAAAACGGAGTTAATCTGTGTCATGTTATTAGATTTTAGATTCTAAAGGATTGGCACAGAGTGCTCTTTTGGGTGAGAGCTGAGGTAAAAATTGACCTGGGACTGTGACTGGTGCTTTGGGACCAGGAGAACCTGTTCGAAGATGGTGATAACGGTTGTATAACCTCTCATGTGTGTAAGGTGTGGCGCTGGTGGTGGCACAGGGAATGCTGGGGCATCTAAGGGGATTTGCTTGTGAGGCTTTTCGCTGTCCAGAATGGTAGCTGAAGTGCTTTCTGTAGCTGGTTTGGCACCTTATAGGGAAGGACTCCTGTCTGGGGCTGTAAGTAGCCCTGGTTCTGAGCAATTCACCCTGATTTGACCCTCTCAGTGGTGCCCACACCAACCTGTTATATTATAATCTGCCATAAGAAATGTCTGTTAAACCCACTTAGTGGGATGTTTGCTATAGAGGTACATTAGGTTAGCTGTTGGGATGTTTATATTATAAATATATTGGGTGAACCAGTCTGGCACTTCTTAGATTCACGGGGGATTGCTGGAAAAGAAGCAGGAAGGGAAGCAGCAGTTGAAGAAAACCCACTGCTCAGTGAGCACCTCAGGGAGGCTGAGCGATCACACCGGAGCTACAAGTTGGGAAGAGCCTGTTTGCAGTCTCCAGCCGCGTTACCCAGCTTGTTCTGCCCAACACCGGAGCTACAAGTTGGGAAGAGCCAGCTTGGGAAGAGCCAGGCTCCAGCCTCATTACCCAGCTTGTTCTGCCCGCGCTGGGAGTCTGCCCAGAGGGGGGGGGGACATCTGTTGCTGAGAAGCTCTTCAGACCGACAGGCACAGACATGGCTGGGGACGTCTGAAGGCCCCTGGCCTGCCTAGGTCCCTGTCACAGGGTGGAGGCTTTTGTCTCAGGGACGTGGACAGACTGTTGTTTGAAAACCCTCTTATTCTCCCATGTTACACTTCATTCCCACTGGTAAGGCTGGTTAGTCACTTGTCTCACCACTATTCAGCCTCCCAGAGAGAGCGACCATGGGTACTGAACACCTGCTTGGGCAGGCCCAAGTTGGCCTGCAATGCGCTGTAGCAGAGCCCAGTCTGAGGGTGAGAGGATCACGAGATTCCACCTCATGAGAGGGCCAGCTAAAAAGTCTGACATTTGGCCCACACAGACCAGAGACGGGCAGAGATGTTGGTAGCCCTGTAACTCTGAGGGTATCCATCGACAGAAAAGCTGCATCCCTCAGCCAGTCAACAAACCGAAACACGCCCCATTGGGCCTCACAGCTCTGAATTCCTGCCCTCGCAGTCGAGACAGAGAACAAAACCTTTCAAAACACGTTTGCTGATTGAATTTGCAGGAGCAAACAAACCTG